TTGTGTCCCAGTATGTGGTCTATTCTGGAGACCATTCCATGTGCACTGGAGAAGAATGCATATTCTGTTGCTTTAGGATGAAAGGTTCTGAATACATGTGTTAAGTCCATCTGGTCCGGTGTGTCATTCAAAGCCATTGTTTCCTTGTTGATTTTCCGATTAGATGATCTGTGCATTGTTGTAAGTGGGGTGTTGAAGTCCCCTAATCTTATGGTATTATTATCAATGAGTTTATGTTTGTGATTAATTGATTTTTATATTTGGGTGCTTTCACATTTGGAGCATAAATGTTTAAAATTGTTAAGTCTTCTTGGAGGATAGACCCCTTAATTATGATATAATGCTCTTTTTCATCTCTTGTTAAAGAGTGTAACAACAAACTTTACAGTTTAGATTGTCAGATTTAAGTATGGCTACTCCGGCTTTCTTTTGTCAACCATTAGTATGATAGATGGTTCTCCATCCCCTTACTATTATGTGAAGGTGTCCTTATGTCTAAAGTGGGTCTCTTGTAAACAACATATTAGATGGATCTTGTTTTCTTATCCATTCTGTTACCTTATATCTTTTGATTGGAACATTTAGTCCACTGATGTTTAGAGTGAGGACTGAAAGATATGAGTTTATTGCCATTATGTTGCTTGTAGAGTTGGAGTTTCTGGTGGTGTTCTCTGGTCCTTTCTAGTGTTTCTTGCTTTTGATATTTATTTATTCATCTTTTCTCCCCTCAGAGAGTCCCCCTTAAAATTTCTTGCAGGGCTGGTTTAGTGGTCACGAACTCCTTTAATTTTTGTTCCTCTGGGAAACATTTAATCTCTCCGTCTATTTTGAATCAAGCCTTGCTGGATAACGAATTCATGCTGCACATTTTTCTAATTCAGCACATTGAATATATCCTGCCACTCCTTTCTGACCTGCCAAGTTTCTGTGCATAGGTCTGCCGTCAACCTGATCTGTCTTCCCTTGTAGGTTAAGGACTCTTCTTCCCTTGCTGCTTTCATGATTCTTTCCTTGTCTGAGTATTTTGGTAATTTGACTATGATATGCCTTGTTGATGGTCAGTGTTTGTTGAATCTTATAGGAGTCCTCTGTGCTTCCTGGATTTTGATGTCTGTGTCTTTCCTCAGGTTAGGAAAGTTTTCTGCTATGATTTGCTCACATAACCCTTCTACTCTTTTTTCTCTCTCTTCATCTTCTGGGACCTCTATGATTCTGATGTTGTTCCTTTTTAATAAATCAATGATTTCTCTAATTCTTAAATTGTGCTCTTTTGCCTTAGTCTCCCTCTTTTTTTCTGCTTCATTATTCTCTATAAGTTTGTCCTCTATATTGTTTTGTCTCTGCTCTGCCTTATTCATCCTTGCCGCTGTGGAATCCATTTGGGATTGCAGCTCAGTTATAGCTTTTTTTATTTCATCCTGACTAGGTGTGACTTCTTTTATCCTTGCAGAAAGGGATTCTAATCTATTTTTGACTCAGGGTAGTATTCTTATTATCATGATTCTAAATCCTGGTTGGACATCTTGCTTGTTATCTGTGTTGGTTAAGTCCCTGGCTGTCGTTTCTTCCTGCTCTTTCTTTTGGGGATGAATTTCCTCATTTTGTCATTTTGAAGGGATAAAGGGAATTAATGAAGTAAAAAAATTAAAATTAAAAAAATATTAAAAGTAAAAAATTAAAAACAACACACACACACACACACACATATCATATAAATGATGCTATATCCGAGGAGTGTTTTGGTCTGGGTGTTGAAAGGGGCTTGATAGATTAGAGCAAAAAAGAAGGGGAAAAAAAGGAAATAGTTTGAAAATTTGAAAAAATGAATACATTGAAATAGAACACAATGAAATGATGGAAGTTAAACAGAATTTGAAAAAATTTACACAACAGTAAAAAACATAGTTGAAAAAATTAAGAAAAATATATTTAATAAAAATTGAAACTAAAAATAAATATTTTATCTTTCTGTATTCAAGAAAAAGAAAAGAAACGAAAAAGAGAAAAAAAAAAGAAAACTGAATAGATGGACCAGGGAACAGACTGAAGTACGAACGAAATTACTTCACTTTCCCCTAGAAGTCAAAGTATGAAGTGTTTTATACTCCGTAAACTAAGCTGGTGGAGAGACTTGTGTTCCCAAAGAGCGAGGTTGGCCCAGCTGGGCAGGGCTTAGTGTAATCGCTCCGTTCTCCACTAGATGGCGCTGCTTAGCTTACTGGGGTGGATTGTTATGGAGCTTGTAAGTGTGTACGTGCATGCACGGGACCGATGAAAATGGAGTCACCCAGCCACCCAGTCCCTAGTATGGGAACTCTGCCCGGTCAGCAATTGCTCACCCGTCCTTTGTTTCCGGCTTCCTTTCACTCCCTGCTTTTACACTGTCCGTGACCGTCAGGTTGCCAGGTGGCACCTTCCTCCTGAGTTTTATCTCAAAGGCAGCTGTTTTTCCCGACCTCTCCCCTCTGAAGGACTGTGGCTTTGACCCGTTCTGCCCCTCTGCTGAAGGGTCTCACCGAGCCATGGCCGGGTGCCGGCCGCACCCAGAAACATTCGCAGGACCATGCTGCTACCAGCGCCCAGAGACTGCGGCCGGGTGCCAGCCCCCCCCCGAAAAAGTTCCCGAGATTGTGTAGCAGCAGCGTTTCCGGGATCACGGAAAACCACAACACACACCTGGCACCAGGCTTCACCCTTAATGACCTCGTTCCAGCACCAGCGAATGTGGTGGTTCTCCCGGGTCCACTGGGACCTCTGCCTGTGGGGAGTCCTTCCAGCAGGGGAACCGCCTCTGCCCATGTGTCCCCAAGACTCCCGGACTTCACTCTGCGCCTGTGGATTCGCCCTTTCCACCAGAGCACCACCAGGTATGGAGCTGCAGAGTTTCAGACTTGAAACTGCGCTCCTTGTTTATAGAGTCTTAACGGAATTTAAACCCTCTCCTTTCTCCTTTCTCCCTTTTTAGTTCAATCCCTGCGGCTGTTTCCACTTTTCCACTTTCTCTCCAGCTGCTTTTGGGGAGGGTGCTTTTCCTACACTCTCTCCCCTGTCTCTGTCCTCTCTCCACACACAAAAACAGCTCCCTGCCCTCCTTGGCTTCTGTCTCCCCCAGTTCACCTCTCTGCGCCGCATACCTGCTGAATTCTGTGGTTCAGGTTGTGCAGATTGTCGTGTTAATCCTCAGATCAGTTTTCTAGGTGTGCAGGATGGTTTAGTGTTGGTCTGGCTGTATTTCATGGACGTGATACACAAGAAACCTTCCGTGCTATTCCACCACCTTTGTTCCCCCCCCCCCCCCCCCCCCCCCACCGAGATTCAGTGATTCGGTGATTGTTAACACCAAGCAGCGCACTCTGCATTTCTTCATCTCTCAATAAGTTTTCTCTTTGGGAAAGATGGGAGGAATTACTTCCCCAAAGCTTTTCATTACATTTATTTATTTTTATCCACATTCATTCTTAATGTGATGCTTCAGAACTAATCAATGTGCTGCTTAGACTTGAGTACAGTACAAATGTAACTAATTTAGGTGGATTGGGGTACAGACCATCTGAATTAGATAAAAGTCTGAATTACATAACATTTTAAAAGCAATTCAATTTTACTGCTTTCAAATAACTTCAAAGTAACAAGACTGCAAAAGCATCAGTAGGTAAATGTTTTGGAGACCAAATCTGGTGATAAGTAAAAAGGAATTGTAATTATTACATTAATTGCTTGCATTTGAATGCTTCTTCCAAAGTGTCAACAGAAACGTAATTCCCTTAAATAGACTTATTGTGCTTCCAGTGTTATGTAACTTAGCAAGGGTTTATTAAACATCTATTATAAGGAAAGCACTGGGTGGGGGCGGGGAGGTTGACGGAAAAGTTCATAATCTTGTTAGGGTGGTAGAATGCACGCTGGTAAATCAGTCTCTGGCCATTCTCTTTACCAGTTCACTCCCTTATATCAATTTTTTTCCCAGATGGGGCTAGGTAAGTTACACCTCAACCCTCAAACTGCTGAGCTACTGAGGGGACGGTGTGCCTGGGTGCTTGGATTTATTTCTCAGGAAATCACTATCACTTCCCAGACTTTTTGGCCTCCAAACGTCCTGTTTCTTGCTTTCACCGTTCCTCTCAACCTACCACAGCAGGACACTCCTGATCCGGAGTTACAGAAATTGGAGGTGATGAGGGCTCTGCCGCGTCCTGTTCCTCTTGTCAATGACATGGTGGCTAGTGCACCTCACACCGGTCCTGCTGACATCTCCTGATCAGTGGATCATCGTGCCTGAAAGTCCGCCACCTTTGCAGGCCTAACAGAGCTCTGCCTCACACAAGCTCAAGTGCCTTTCAGAGATAGGCCACAGGGGACATTTCTGTTTGAGACCTATCAACCTTGTCCCTTTACTCGGTAGTAGGTAGTAAACGTCAGGGGATGCCTTTTACCTGGTGTGCCACAAAACTGAGCTCATATGATACAAAACTGAGGTTTTAGGGAGTTCAGAAACTCAAAATTTTTGCAAAACTGGGTCTAGGCCCATCAGCTAGCTATCCAGTTGATCCCAGTTATAGAATAATCTTAATCAAACAGGAGCTGATGGAGTAAGGAAGGGAGCCTGAGGAGTTCAGGCTACCAGCCAGAGGGGGCTGGACAAACCCAGTGACGCCAGAATCCAATGCTCATAGGCTGTTTCATTCACCCGTTTTACCATCGGTGATGTGTGGGAGCTGACTCAGACCACGGACAGGACTGGCTGGGTGTAGCTCTTCCCAAGTCACCCTTCCACCCCTTCAAGACGGCAGCCGGAAAGTGGACCACGGTGAGAGCCCGGACACCGTGGAAGGTGGCAAATGCTCCATGCAAAGCGGTTGCCCCCCACACCCCAACCAGAGCCAGCTGGTAAGCGCTGACAGTGCACCGCTGGTGACATCTGGTCTCATGTTCGGTTTTCACAAACTCGGTGGCCACCGTCCCCTAAGAAGGCACCACCGACACACTGCTGGCTCACTGACCTGGGCTCGGTTGGTATACAGCACCTTCATATCCCTCAGCTTCTCCAAACCCTCACTGTAGCACAGGATGGCCGCTTCATAGTCACCTCTGGCAAACGCTTCGTTCCCCTTCTGTTTTAGGGCTGGAGAATAAAAGTCATACAGGTGAGCTCTGCCCGCACACGGGATAATTCTCTCAGACTTTATTCCCCTGGCTTTGGAACCCAGCTTTGAAGGTCATAGCTTCCATCAACCCAGAGGAGATCTGCTGCCTGTTTCTCTACAGATGTTTTGGGATCGGCCTCTTTAAGGATTTTTTTCCCCTCCAAACCTATCCCCAAGTCTCCTAAGTAGCTTCTCCGAAAAATAAATGTTTCTGGGGCACGTGGGTGGCTCAGTAGGTTAAAAGTCCGACTCAATTCCAGCTCAGGTCATGATCTCATGGTTTGTGAGTTCGAGCCCTGCGTCGGGATCTACGCTGGCAGCAGAGAGCCAGCTGCTCTCCCCCCCCCCCTCTTTCTCTGCCCCTTCCCTGCTCTCGCTCACTCTCTCAAGATAAACTTAAAAAAAAAGTGTTTAAGAAAAAAAATGTTTCTGCCTCAAAACTCAGAACCTCTCCAAGTTTGCCACAAAGGCCAAGTCGGACATTCAGTGTCTCACAAAGACGGCCAAATAAGTCATTTTCCAGCAGATGTGGAGCTGTTCATGCACAGCACATGCCTCTGGGAGACACAAAAGTGCCAAATGCATGTGTCCCTCCAACACACGCACAACCCCGTCTCTCTCTCCATTTCTCCTCTCCCTTCTCACATCTACATTTTACTGTCTGATTTTTCTTTTCCACTCTCCCTTCTGTGCCTCAGGCCAGCCTGCGCACCTCACTTCCACCCTCCCTACTGACTGCTGAGCGCTGGTCTGCCAGGTCCGTCCCTGTGCTTTAGGAAGAGGTCTGGCTGTGGAGCCTGATGGAGGGCTCTGCCCTCTTCCCTGTCTGCTGCAGCAGGGGCAGGGAGCACACAGCGCTGGCTTCTGCCTGGCCAGGCTCCACTGCCTCGAGACCATTATGAACCCCCAGCCGGGAATCTCGCTGTCCTCAAGTACCAGCAGACAGACTCATGATCTTTCGGGCACAAATCATCCCAGCTCTTGGGAAGTGAAGATAGACAGTTACCATCTGCTAAGACTTTGTTCTCCCTTCTTCTTCTGGCACGTTCCTTTGCATCCGACTCCACGGATGCCAAGAAGGCTTCTGACAGCAGAGTAATTTCAAATATTAGAGAGAAAAATCCAGATATCATAATCAGTTCTTTAGCTCACATTCAGAAGAAAGCTTCTTTAAAAGCTTTAGAGACACACACCTCTTGCATATATATGTAGGCACACACTCCTGTGCACACACGCACACGAGCGCGCACACGCACACACACAGATTCTGAGGCAACTAAAATGACATTTTCTTAATTTGACATTAAATGGTAATCTGTGTGGTATATTATTATACATGATGGCTATGTCTGTGCTTCAAATTTGAATTATGCCTTTTAAAAGAGTTTTTCTTTAAAGGTAGACTTTTTCGTTCCATTTAGCATAATGAGTTTCTGAGCTGAGCAACAGAGAAGCTACCTGGATCCCTTCAGCAGCTAACAAAAAATTGGCTGATACAGAATAACTGAATTCAGTTTATAAAAGACTGTCCAGGAGAAATGACAGAAAAACCTGTGAGCACTGTTTCCTCTGACCACTAGTAAGAGAAGTGGCTGATCAGTAGGTTTTTGTTCACGGGTTGTTTGTAAGCCCAGAGGCTATAATTTAAGGGTCTGGAAGCTACAGTTGATAAACACTGATCCTAAACAAATAGGAAGAGAGATGCTGTCCTTACCTGAGTTTATTTCATCTGTATTCTGCAGGCACAGGTTATCATAAAAACAAAGAAACAAATTTCAAAAACTACTCTCCGATTTATGTGAATATACACCAAGAATGCAGATCCATCACAAGTGGGGTGGTAGGGTTATTTCCTTTAACCATCAATACTGAAGGGCCCCGAATTCTGAAGGCTTGCTTTAAATCAGTTCTGATTATGCATACGGTTGTTACAGAGTGAGCAGGTCAAGGGACCCCGGCTGTGGCTGTGTGAGTTGGAAATATGAGACAGGATATATTACCTTAACAGTACAGCTTAGATATGGTCGCAAGCTCAGGAGGTAGAGAGACCAAATTTTCATTAAAATAAACCCATTATTTTAAAGATAACTCAGAACGACAAAGAAAAAAAAATCAGAGTTTGTATTTCCTTGTGGCAAATAAATCTAGTGAATCTAAAAAGCAAAAGACCACTTTAGCCTCACTAGGCAATTTGAGATTAAACTACCACTTTTCTGCTTCAGTGCAGACCTCTTCTTTGTATCTGCTTATCTAACTCCAAAATAGAAAAAGAAACCTCAGGAGAAGCTTGTGGAGGACTGATCATGGTCTTGTTCAGCGTGGTCCGGCATCCATCCTCCTCTTGGACTTCCTCTGTAAACAGCAGTCTCTTTTCTGTCTCTAGGACAGCTCTCTGTTGTACAACCGGGTCATCAGAATTCATCTCCTGAATTAAACTGGCTGCAGGAGAAATCAGATGTGAATCATTCAAATGAGGTCTTCAAAAGAAAAGACTCCATTCACTAGGAAGGATGGGGTAGCACAGTCCTGGGGAAGAACTTTTGTTTCTCCAGCTTTATTGGCATATTATTGACGTACAACGCTGTGTAAGTTTAAGGTTCACAGTGTGATGATTTGATCCACGTTGTGAAGTGATCCCACAATAAGGTTAACACAGCCATCTCCTTATGCAGTTACAATTTTCACATGCGCTGGGAACATTTAAGATCAACTCTCTTAGCGACTCTCAAGTATAAAATGCAGTGACTAACTATAGTTACCATGTTGTACATTAGAACCCTGCACTTACTCGTTTTATAACTGGAAGTTTGTACCCTTTGACCAACATCTCCCCATTTCTTTGTTTTCCCTCCAGTTTTATTGAGAAGTAACGGACATACATCACTGTATAAGTTTTAGGCGTATTGCATGATGGCTGGATTTATTATATTGTTAAATGATTAGAATTGGTTCCATTAATATCCATCTTTTCTTATAGATGGGATAAAAAAAAAAAAGGAAAAAGTTCTCTCCTTGTGATGAGAACTCTTAGGATTTGCTCTCTTGCTAACTTTCCCGTCTATCCTACAGTGGTGTTAGCTATAGTCATTTTGTTGTACATCACACGCCTGGCACTTACCGATCTTACATCTGGACGTTTGTGCTTTTGGCCCCCTTCCTCCAAATCCCCCTCCCCCACCCTCAATCTCTGGTTAGCCACAAGTCTGATCTCTATGAGTTTTTTCTTTTCTTCTCTTTTCTTCTTGTTCTTTTTTTTTTTTTTTTTTTTTTTTTTTAGATTCCACATATAAGTGAGATCACAGAGTTCTTGTCTCCTCTGACTTATTTCACTTAGCACTATGCTTTCAAGGTCCACCCATGTTGTCATGAATGGTAGGATTTCCTCATTTTTTATGGCTGAATATCATTCCCTTGTTTATACATAGCACAACTTCATTATCCATTCATTCACAGATGGACACTTAGGCTGTTTCCATGTAAGTGATGCTGCTTTGAACATGGGGGTGCAGATATCCTTTTCCAGTTAGTGTTTTCATTTCCCTCAGATATATTCCCCAAAGTGGAGTTACTGGATCATATGGTATTTCTGGTTTTAATTTTTTGAGGAAACTCCATACTGTTTTCCACAGTGGCTATGCCAGTTTACATTCCTACCAACTCTGCAAGGGCTCCCTTTTCTCCACAACCTTGCCAGCATCTGCTGTCTCTTGTCTTTTTGATAATGGTGACTCTGAAGGGCATGTGGTGGTATCTCAGTGTGGTTTTAATTTGCATGTCCCTGGTGACTAGTGATGTTGAACATCTTTTCATGTGCCTGTTGGCTTTTCAAGTATTTCTTTGGAGAAACGTCTATTTGGGTCCTTTGCCCATTTTTTAATTGGGTAAGCTGGTATGTTTTGTTTTTGTTATTGAGTTGTTTGAGTTCTTTATATATTTTGGATATCAACCCCTTATCAAATACATGGTTTGCAAATAGCTTTTCCCATTCCTTAGATTATCTCTTCCCATTTCTTTAAAAAAAATTTTTTTTAATTTTAAGGTTTATTTATTTTTCAGAGACAGAGAGAGACAGAGCATGAGGAGAGAAGGGGCAGAGAAAGAGGGGGACACAGAATCTGAAGCAGGCTCCAGGCTCTGAACTGTCAACACAAAGCCCGATGTGGGCTTGAACTGAGACCGTGAGATCATGACCTGAGCTGGTCAGGCTCCCAACTGAATGAGCCACCCAGGCACCCCATTTAAAAAAAGTTTTTTAATGTTTATTTATTTTTGAGAGAGAGACAGAGCATGAGAGGGGGAGGGGCAGAGAGAGAAGGAGACACAGAATCTGAAGCAGGCTCCAGGCTCGGAGCTGTCAGCTCCAACACAGGGCCCAACACAGGGCTCGAACTCACAAGCTGCGAGATCATGACCTGAGCCGAAGTGAGATGCTTAAACTCCTGAGACACCCAGGTGCCTCTCTCTCTTCCCATTTCTTAAAGAAGGTTCTGAATGGAAAGCAAAAATTAGAGCCATTAGAACCATTGAGAAAAAATTAAGATCAGGATTTGTTTTGCCTGGAAGAAGCTGCAGGAGAATTTTACCATGGCCTTCAAATTACAGTTTTAAGCTCCTTATTTAATTCAGTGACAATTTATGGAGAGCTTATTATGAGTCAGATATTATGCAGAATGCCCTCGATAACGATGAATAAAAAAGATGTTAACTTTTGAAGAGTTTCCCATCTTGTGTGGGAGACAAACAGGTAAATTTAGGCAGCACTGAGATCACAAAACAGCCCTTAAAGCCATCCTTCCTGGTCTTCACTTTACTGCCCACTCAGCTTAGAGCCCGTGGTCCATCACTAGGCCACCATCCTGCCCACATGCTGACCTCCCTTGCCCTTCCACCACACCTGCCAGACAAAACTCCCAACTCCAAATCCAGCTCCCCACTTCTCTGGGCCTTTGTTACGGATGCAGAGTATTGACAGAGAAAGCAATGGACACCAGGGAGAACTGGTCCTAACTCAACTGCCCTGTCAATGATGCTTGGAGATCCTACTGCTGGCCTAGTAGGATTCTGACCCCAATTCCAACGTGTGCTTTTCCCCACACCACCATGCAATTCTGACACCAGCTGGGTGTCCCTACAATTCAGCTTAATTCTAACATTGCCTACCTGGAATAGTGTCAGATCCCACAGCTTAGGGGTCTGGTCCTATAAGACTGCCCCCTCCCCACCTCCCAGATGGTCACCTGTGCTTCTGCCCGAACATCTATACATCAGAGGGTCCCACGACCTCTTCTTCCTCTGGTTTGATTAATTGGCTAGAGTGGCTCACAGAACTTAGAGAAACATTTTATTTACTAGATTACCAGTCTGTCATAAAAGGATGTAACTCAGAAGAGCCAGACGGAAGGGATTCATAGGGCATGGTGTGTGGGAAGGGGGTGTAGAAGGCTCTCTGAGCGCACCCCTCTCCCAACATGTCCATGTGTTCATCAACCTGGAAGCTCCCTGATGCTGGTCCTTCTGAGTTTTTATGGAGGCATCATTACATAGGCCTGATCGATTAAAAATCATTGGCCACTGGTAATCAGTTCAACCGCCAGCCCCTCTCCCCTTCTGAGAGGGTTGAAACTTTAGCACCAGGTTGGTTCCCCTGGCAACCAGCTGCCATCCTTAGGTTCCAAAAGTCACTCATTAACATAAACTCAGGTGTGACTGAAAAGGGTTTGTCATGCATATGAGGATGTCTTTGTCTGTCTTATCACTTAGGAGTGCCAAGGGTTTTAGGAGTTCTGTGCCCAGCACAGGGACAATGAACAAACATGTATTTCTTATTATAAGTCACAGTATCAGGGCGCCTGGGTGGCTTAGTTGGTTAAGAGGCCAACTTTGGCTCCGGATATGATCTCGCAGTTCATGAGTGTGAGCCTTGCATTGGGCTCTGTGCTGACAACTCAGAGCCTGGAGCCTGCTTCATATTCTGTGTCTCCCTCTCTCTCTGCCCCTCTCCAACTAATGCTCTCTCTCTCTCTCTCTCTCTCTCTCAAAAAATGAATAAACATTAAAAAAATAAATAAAAAATAAATCACACTATCACATCCAGCCAAGTCATCCTGTCCTCCTCTCATGGACTTTAAAAAACTGCCTCCCATCAAGGGAACCCTTGTGCACTGTTGATGGGAAAGCAAACTCGTGTAGCCATGGTGGAAAACAGTTTGGAGGTTCTTCAAAAAATTAACAGCAGTGGGACACCTGGGTGGCTCAGTCAGTTAAGCCTCTGACTTTGACTCAAGTCATGATTTCACCGTTTGTGGGTTCGAGCCCTGCATCAGGCTCTGTGCTGACAGGAGCCTGCTTGGGATTTTGTGTGTGTGTGTCTCTCTCTCTCTGCCCCTCCCCTGCTCGCACGTGTGCACTCTCTCTCTCTCTCTCTCGAAAATAAACATTAAAAAAAATTAATAGCAATAATTGCCATGATCCAGTAATTTCACTACTAGCTACTTACCTAAAGAAAACAGAAACACTACTTTGAAAAGCTATATGCAGTCCTGTGTTTATTACAGCATTATTTACAACAGCCAGGTATGGAATATCACAGCCATTAAAAAGAATGAAACCTTGCCGTTTGCAGTGTCACAGGTGGAGCTGGAGAGTGTTATGCCAAATGAAATAAGTCAGTCAAGAGACAGACAAATACCACATGATTTCACTCACGTGGAATTTAAGAAACAAAACGAATGTACAAACAAAGAAAAAACAGAGACAAAAAACCAGACTCTCAAGTACAGAGAACAGAATGGTCGTTGCTTCCTACCTGTTTGGCCATCGCTGTTCAGTCTCCCTTGCTTGCTCCTGCTCTCCCTGTCTTACCTGCCTTCGAAACTGTGGTCATCCTCAAGGCTCCGCCTGAGCCTTCTTCTCTTTTTCTCTAGCCTGTCCCCAGGTATTCCTGTTCTCTCCCACGGTTATAAGTAACATTAATGCCAAGTGCCCCCTAAACTGACGTCCCCAGCTCTGTTCTCTCCTAGGCTGACACTCGCGCAGCCAAGTGCCCTCTGAACATCTTCGCTGTCATGTCTTACTCACCGATCTTGGGCTGCCCATCCTCCTTCCCCTGAGGCTCTTCTTCCTCCAAATGCCTTCTATCTTAGCAGATGGCTGAACTACCCACTGGGCATTCGACCCAAAACTTTCGGGCCCCATTTTTTTTTTAATGTATTTTGACAGAGAGAGAGAGACAGACAGACAGACAGTGAGTGCACGAGGGAGGGGCAGAGAGACTGAGAGACAGAGAATCCCATGGGAGCGCACAGCCTGATGCAGGGCTTGATCCAACGCATTGTGAGATCATGGCCTGAGCAGAAATCAGGAGTCGGATGCTCAACTGACTGAGGGCTCACTCTTGAGTCTTCATTCTCCCTCTGCCTCACAGCCATCAAACTCTAAAGGTCATCGAGTAAATCCTAAATCCTAAATATATCTCAAATCCATCTCCTTGTGCCCAGTCCTGCTGCTCCAGCTCTACACCCAACCTGACTCCCTTCCCTGGCGCTGTGACACCCTCCTGATTGGTCTCCTGGCATCCATTCTTCTGTTCCCTCGTGTCCTCATGTCTACATCCATGCTGTGGCCAGAGCAACTTCTCTACGGTGCAAATCTGATCACGTTCCTGAGTCAGCCCTCCAAAGGATTCCCACTGCTCTCGGGGTAAATGCGAATTCCATATTGTGGCTTCCAAGGTCTTCCCTGATCCGGCCTTTCTTGACTCACATGGGAGCCTCGTCTCTGTGATCTCTCCAGCCACATGCAGCTGTTTATGCCTTTAGTTTCTTAGAAGCACCTTGTTCTTTCTTAACTCCTAGCTTTTCTACTTATGTTCTCTCCATTCAGAATATTCCCTCACCTTCTCCCCAGTGCCCGAGTCCTACTCACACTTCAGATTTCTGCTTAAATCCCATGCTTTAGGGAAGCCTTACAAAACTCCTGTATGCAAGTGTGGCCCCCACCCCATTCCTATGCTGACTCACAGCCATGTGACTGTACTGGCAGAGAGCCTTTAAAGGTGAAATTAAGGTTGAATGAGGGGGCACTTGGGTGGCTCAGTCGGTTAAACATCTGACTCTTGGTTTCAGCTCAGGTCATGATCTCATGGCTTCATGGGTTCGAGCCCCGTGGCAGGTGGGCTCTGTGCTGGCAGTGTGGAACCTGCTTGGGATCCTCTCTCTCTGTCTCTCTCTGCCCCTTCCCCACTCGCTCTGTCTCTGTCTTGCTCAAAATAAATAAATAAACTTTTAAAAAAAGGTTAAATGAGGTCATGAGGATGGAGCACTGAACAACAGGACTGGCGCCCTCATAAGAAGAGGAAGAGACGTCAGGGACGCACGCACACACACAGAAAAATGACCATGTGAGGATGCGGCAAAAAGGAGGCCATTTCCAAGCCAGAGAGAGAGGCCTCAGGAAAAACGAAAACTGACGACACCTTAGTCTTGGACTTCCAGCCTCCAGAACTGTGGAAGTAAATTTCTACTGCTTAAGCCATTCATCCCTGTTTTGTTACAGCAGCCCAACCAGACTGATACAATTTGTAAACTGAGTTACAGTCTCTTGTACTTTGCAAATCTCAAATCTCACTTTGTATCACACATCGCATTCCAGATGGCTTGTGTAGTATCTGTTCTCCCCACAGGACTCTAGATATCCCGAAGGAAGGGAAGTCTTATTTATTATTACCGGTCTCTCTGGTGCCTAGCAAAGCTCAGTACATAGCAAGAGCCCAGGAAATGAATGCATAGAATCTACACAGGAGGCTCTACAAATGTAAAGTAACTACAAATGAAATAAAACTGGAAATTCAGTTACTGGATAGCACTAACCACATTTCACATGCTCGACAACTGCATGCAGTTACTGGCTACCATAGTGGACAGTGCAGATTAGAGGACATTTCCGTTACCACCGAAAGTTCCATTGGCTAGTACTGGTATAAATGGTACCTGCAAGAACTCTGAGCATGAATGAAAGCGAGCCGGTAAAGACAGATGGGGAGGGAGGCAGAGGGAATGTCAAAGGCAACATGCAGAGCATGAACCACCAGGGTGTGTGTGGAGGAACTAGAAGTGTGAGGTAAGGAGAGGCAAGCGGTAAAGACAAGGTCACGGGAGGGCTTAAGTCCCCGATGAGAGCTTGAAGTTTATTGTGGCTGCGGAGAGAATCCAAGCAGAGAAGTGTCTGGGTCAGATTTGCATTTTTAGATACATTACTCTGTGGGGAGCGTAAGCCTGGAGGCAGGAACAACAATCAGGGGGTTGTTGAAACAGTCTGGGTCAGAGAACCAGGACAAAGCAGGGGGTGGGGAGGAAGGAGTTGGAGAAGAAAGCTAAACTTGATGGCTGATCGAATGGAGGGTGAGATGGCAGGAGTCCAATGTGACTGGTAAACTTCTGGATGGTTGTGCCAATGGAGACTAGAATGAAGGGGAAGGGAGGAGAAGCGGTATTCTTTGGGGGGAGGATAGAAGGGTCGGGCAACAAGCAACTGCAGTTTGGACGCATTAAGTCTGCCGTGTTCGTGGGGTACTGTGGCTGTGACGGGTGGCACAGAGCCCGAGCCTCGGCAAAGAAGGCCAGGTGGCAATGGAGATGTGGGGGTCGTGAGTAAACAGGTTGCTGGGAAAACCCTGTGCTTGGACCAGACCCCCTGAAGAGCAAAGTGAGCAAGTGGGCCGAGGCCAGAACTCAGCAGAACAGCATTTAGGGATGGGCAGAGGAGAGGCCCAGGGATGTTATCTTTTATCAAGTGACCCAGACTATTTTTAAAACCGTTTTAACGGTTTTGGACCCATACAGGCTGCTAGAAGGAGCCTGCTTTGGACCCATACAGGCTGCTAGAAGGAGCAATTTCAACCTATTTCTATTTGATATGCAAGATTTGTTGGGTTGTTGGTTTGCTTGTTTCCATCATCAAACAAGCTCCCTGAAGCTTGAAGAATAGGAACAAACTACTTTGGAATCTAGTGAATGTGCTTTGTGGGATCAGAGTCTGTCCTTTGAGATCCCACCTATCTGAGCTGGGGAAGGGGTCTTCTGTCTTCTTGCCTAGAGGCAGAGAGATGGGGATAGGACAACCAAAAGCCATTCATGTAATCAGATGGACCCAGGGGGAGAGCCACTTGATTTTGCTTCTGCAGCTCAAAATCAGAAATGGCTCTGCCCTAAAGCAAGAGGAGACTGATCACTGAGGTTCCTGAGCGATCTCGAAGGGAACAGCTAGGGCTCCTTTGACGTGACGTCTACGTGGAAGGGGACAGAATATGGAGGAGACTTGTCCCCCTCAGTTCCCATCAGAATGTTAATGGCTTCTCTGATACCAATGAACAGCCTCAAAATACTACCCCAGGCTCTAATATTACTCACTTCTTAATACCTTTTCTGTTTAATTCCAATTATATTTTCTCTTAGAGTCATAAACCTATCAGGCAACCCAGGAACTAACTTCGGGTGATCACTTCTCTTCAGTCACCCCACCTTGCTAACGCAGAATTTAGTTTGTTTATGATTTACTGGTACTTACTGATTTCATCCACATTTTTAAGAAATTTCTGCAAGTCTTTCTCGTGATCGTCCGCCATCGTCAACCAGAATCCCTGAGGGAGGCAGTGGAAGTGACGAGAATTAATAGTAATAAAATGCTAAACAGGATTTTTCAGGCTTATTAGCCTTCTAAAACTAAGAGCCAAGTGGTTATTTTTAAGATGGGTTTGTGTTCATAAATAACGTCATGAATAACGGCAGGTGATCTATTTCACTCTGATTGCTGGGAAGGCCAAGGAAGGGATACTCATTATTTGTGGTGATGCTTCTGGAAAGCTGTCAGCCCTCCCTCCTCTGGGAAAACTGCTCTGCAAAATGTTCCTCCAAGCCCGACATCCACTGCTGTGATTCAGGGACTGGGTATAAAGGAGACCAGGAGGGGAGGGGCTGCCAGGAATGGAGGAAAGTAACATTGGACTTTGGTCATGACAGGCCCGCCCAGCCAGAAGCTTGGACCTAGCTGTGTGACTGGTAACCAGGAACTGGAGAATGTGCATTTAAATGTCCAAACTTGCTTAAAATATAAGCCTCTAGGGGAGCCTGGGTGGCTCAGTGGGTTAAGCGGCTGACTTCGGCTCAGCTCAACTCACGGTTCCTCAGTTCGAGCCTGGCATGGGACTCTGTGCTGATAGTTCAGAGCCTGGAGCCTGCTTGGGATTCTTTGTCTCCCTCTCTCTCTGCCCCTCCCCCACTCATACTCTGTCTCTCTCTTCAAAAACAAAACAAAACAAAACATTAAAAAGAAATTAAAACAGGGGCGCTGGGGTGGCTCTGTCGGTTAAGCGGCTAACTTCGGCTCAGGTCATGATCTCAGGGTTCCTGAGCTCCAGCCTGGTGTGGGGCTCTGTGCTGACAGCTCAGAGCCTGGAGCCTGATTCGGATTCCGTGTCTCCCTCTCTCTCTGCCCCTCCCCTGCTCACACTCTGTCTCTCTCTAAAAAAAAATAAATAAATAAACATTAAAAAGAAATTAAAACAGGGGTGCCTGGGTGGCTCAGTGGGTTAAGCTTCTGACTTCGGCTCAGGTCATGATCTCATGGTTTGTGAGTTCGAGCCCCGCATAGGGCTCTGTGCTGACAGCTGGGAGTCTGGAGCCTGCCTCGGTTTCTGCGCCTCCCTCTCTCTCTGCCCCTCCCCCACTTGTGCTCTTTCTCTCTCAAAAATGAATAAATGTAAAAAAAAAAAAAATTAAAAAAAAGAAATTAAAACAATAAAATATAAGCCTCTGTCTTGTTTCCTAGGTGTGAAGAGAAGCTAAAAATTGGCTGAAGGGATGAGAACTCGATGGCACTGTGCATGCACCAGCATCTCTGTTCCTGTCCAGGTACTTTGGACTTATTACTTCTCTCTCAGTCGTTTGTGAGTAAAAAGGCCTCACGGTGTAGCCAGTGGTTCCCAAAGCTCACCCAAAGGCCATAAAAGTCGTCCAAAAAATGTGTTAAGTATACACAGTCCTCAGCCTTGGCGCCAGAGTCAGTAACCTTGCCGGGGCGCCGGGGAATGGATACTTTTAAACACTCGCGGAGCGATTCTGATTTACGATTAGGTTTAGCAGTAGTGCAGTCCTGTAACGCTCCAGTTACTGCAAATTTGAACTCTGCCACACAAACAAGCTGGGAGTGATTTGACCTCCTGAGACCCCACCGGTTATAAGCTGTGTGACCTCAGCTAAATTCACCAACCTCTCTGAGCCTAACTCATTCTAGGGAAACCGTAACAGGAACCGAGAGGGCTACCCTGGGGGTTCACTGACAGCGCCAGGCACACGATGAGTGGTAAATGCTGGTAAATGCGAGGCACCCTTATCTATAAAACGGGGGAAGTGGGACATGTGGCTTAACTAGACGAGCGCTAGGGTTCCTTCCAGTTCCTTCCAGAACTGAGGCCTAGTGAAGCGAGTTAACTTGCCCAAGGTTGCCGGATTAGAAGGAAGGCTCAGCACTTCTCCGGGCCGGCGCAGCCAGGGTCGGACACGAACTCTCTCGGGGGCCCGCGGCCGGGGGAGGGCACGCACGCGGGACCCCAGCGACGAGCCGGGGCGGGGCCGGAGGGGCGGGGCCGACGGCACCGTTGCCCGGCAACCGCTCCACAGCGTCCACTGGCCCCAGTTCCCAAAGCCGAAGTCCCAGCCCGCGGGGGGGGGGGGGGTCACCGTCCCATCTGCTGAGGCCCACACCAGTGTCCTCTGCTCGGCGCTGACGGCCAGATCAGGACCACATCCCAAGAAAGACCCCGAGACACCCCACCACACTGACCTGACACGCCCAGGGGCCGGACAGGAAATGGCGGCTGTTGGCGGGCGGTGACTGACCAGGGACGGGGGGCGTGGCCAGTGCCGGGGGCGTGCCCAGCGGCCGGGGCGAGCCTAGAGTCTGGGCGGGGGCGAGGCCTCAGCGCTCCGGTTCTGGAGCCAGCGCGCTGCCAGTTCGTGGCCGGGCTGGGGGCCCTGGGTCCAGGATGCGTACCCGGTCAGGGGCTGGAAGCAGGTCTCTGAATCAGGGCCAGGTGTTCGTCCCTTTTTCTTCTAAGGAAGGGGCATCTCTCTGATCATCTTACTATCCCTGGCCCAAAAAGGGGACAATCTCCAATGTACTTGGGAGAGGCAAACTTGGGTGAAATCTGGGCTTATTGCTAGATGTGAGACCTTCAGAGAGCTCTGTAATCTTCTGATCTTTTCTCGTCTATAAACTGGAGAAATGGCACGTTCTCCCAACGTTTATGGTTAAAGTGCCAGGCATCTAATCAGTAGGAATACGTGTTAGTTATTATCCAGGGAATCCTAGGATTTGGAGCTCAATGAGACACATTGACACTTTGAATAAATGCACACAGTTTTAAAGAGATTCCAGTCTGTTTTTTGAAACAAAACTTCAGTATTATGGTGCTGGGTTAAAGGGGCAAGGGGAGAAAAGCCAGTTTTGGGGAAAGTTCCATCTTGAGTTTAAGCTCAGAAACCCTTGGGATGCCTTGGCAAATTTGTGGGTGCATTTCAGAAACCTGTTTGCTGGCTGAGGAGCCCCTGGGGATAGAATTTACCAGAAGGGGAGGGGGTCCAGGCATGGCCAGTTAGATCCAACATTGGCTGAGCACAGTCTGCTGAGTCCTGTGTTCTCCATGGGGCGGTTTGACTGAAATCTCCACAAGGTGTTGGCACACATCAGTCCTGCTTGAGAACCCCCGTAATGGAGTAGAGCACACAGGGGCTGGGGCATTGACCTCTTTGCTGCAGCCTGGGGGCCGCTTTAGCAGAGTCCTTAGTACATCAGCTGCAGCAGGAGGCCGTGGGACCTGGGGGACCCAGCAGTATAGTCACAGCAGCTGTCCCCAGGGACTAAGCTGCCTCATGAGAGGTAGCACAGCAGAGGTGTCTGGGAGAGTGGGGCTGCTGTGAGGCCACACCCTGGACATTCTCAGAAAGACCTGGGTTACTTTACAGTGACCTTGGAGCGTGTTCGAATTTGTGGAGACAGGAACCCGTGAATGAGCCAGAGGAATGCGTTATGGCACAGAGTGTCAAGAATGGAAGCCGTAGGAAGAATGGGACGAAAGCAAGAGAGCAGACAAGAGTGGGACAAGATACCTGGGCAGGAGGGACGCCAAGGAGAGGGCAGATGTGCTTGCTCCTAGGTCAGGATAGGTATAAGGATACTCAGCAGCCATGCACACTTGTGGCATCTTTAGAAGTCATTTCCATCTTGATGGCTCCTACCTGGGTCTCTTTCCAGCTGAGACCTCGCTCCATGCCCTGGCCCTCTGATTCAACAGAGTGACTAGACTGTGAATCTCTTGGGGGTAGGAATTTTGTTTTAGTTTGTCTGAGTATTCCCAGTGCCTGGTCCTTAGATGGAGCTAAATTTAGATTTGCTGAGTGAGTTGATTTCTTGCTCTGCATGGAGGAAGGCTCCAGTCTAAGTCATTCTACATGGGAAAGGAATATGGATGTTTACAGTTTCTCTGTGTCAGGCTTCTCAGGACGGTCCATCCTGGAGGACAAACATTGTTATAGTCACAAAATATGTTTTAGGGCAAATCTACTTGACAGATTGATCACTTTAAAATGTTAGAGGTCCTCGGGGGTGGTTGAGCATCCAATCTTGATTTCAGCTCAGGTCATGATCCCAAGGTTGTGGGATCCAGCCCCACATCAGGCTCCACCTTGAACTTGGCACCTTCTTAAGATTCCCTCTCTCTCTGGGGCACCTGGGTGGCTCAGTTGGTTAAACGTCCGACTTCGGTCAGGTCATGATCTCACAGTTTGTGAGTTCGAGCCCCACATTGGGCTCTGTGCTGTCGGTTCAGAGCCTGGAGCCTGCTTCGGATTCTGTGTCTCCTTCTCTCTCCACCCTTCCCCTGCTCATGCTCCATCTCTCTCTGCCTCTCAAAAAATGAATAAACATTAAAGAATAAAAAAAATTAAAAAGATTCCCTCTCTCTCTGTCTCTCCCTCTGCCCCTTCTCCTCTGCTCATGCTCTCCCTTCCCCCCTAAAATAAAATAAATTAAAAAAAATAAAATAAAATGTCAGAGGTCCTAGTAATCCTTGGGTAGTCATTGGACTGTCTGCAAAGATTCCAATATTCCTCCTCCCAGGCATACAGTAGGATCTCACTTCTCTGTAACCAGGTGATTTGCTTGTTCAGTGCCATGTGGGAAGAAGTGAAGAGGGCAGAAGCCTTTAAGAGCCAGTGTGTGACTCACCATACAGAGCCAGCCTGTCCTCTGCCCCAGCAACCTGGTAGTGAAGGCTGTATCTGCTTGAGTCCCTGAGTGAGGGGACATGGACCAGAGATGCCCTTCTACCTTTGATGGACACGTAGCAATAGACCTTCCTTGCTTTAGTCCACAAGGATTTTGGACTTGTTTGTTAGGCAACATAACACAGCCTTTCATGTCTAATATGACAACTCAGACTGCTGTCAGTCATTTGCTACAGTGTCAAAATCTAGGGACCGTGCCCATGAGTGCACATAGATTATGATCATTGTGACTTACGTGTTAAGTATCAATGTTTGCATGTTCGTACATGTTCAAATACACAGAGGAAAACAGACGTTTAAAATGTGTGTGCCTGGTATCTCAAATTTATTCCTCTTAGGGAAACTCTATGAATCATACAACTGCCACTTCCACTCAACCTAAACCCCCTGTGTGGTATATACAAATTTCACTTTTTCTTTATGTCCTCATAAAAGTTGGAGAACATTTGACCACCTTCCACTGTGCAGTATATTGGAGACTTGGAGATTATTATAAGCTGTCTCTTCTCTCTGCTTTCCCTTTTGTGTAAATGATTCCAGGTCTTTGCTTTTTCTCACCAATCATACTTTATACACTTAAGAGAGATTTAAAAAAATGGTTTTCAACCGAGGACAGCCGCATGCAGAATAATACAGGGATCCTGCCTTTTCCCGCTGAAAGTGAAGAGTGCTGACAACATGAGCCAGGAGCCACTCTGTGAAGATGTCCCATTGGTCAAAACCCTTCATGTAGATGCCGGGCCCACAATTCTTTTGGAAACTTTGGCTTTAGGATTTCGCAGGGGAGGAAGCTAAAGGAATTCAGCCCTGTGTCTTCCCTCCCTAAGGGAAATTCATGAGTCACATTTGCTATTTCCCCCCAGACATATGTCCTTTCATTAAAAAGAAAAGAGAAACTAAACCATTGGCGTCTTGGATACACCCTTTTCTCTTTCAGTTCCTGCCTGGTTATAGATGCAGAAATGATTTCAAGATCTAGTCACAGATTTAGCCTGGATGTCCACAGAGGAAAAGAGTCTTCCTTGGGATGTCCACGTGTAAATAATGACACCAGTTACTGACAGCAGCAACAACAAAAACCACGGTGATGACAGTAACTGGCCTCACTGACTCACTTGGGGCCAGAAGCCGCACTCAATCCTTTACAGGCATTAGCGTACTTAAAACTCTCAGCAGCCTTATGAGCTCAGCAGCCTTATTCCTATTCCACAGGTAAAATGCAGTCAGGGAGGTTACAGGACTTGCCAGAGCAGAAGCCAGGATGGGTACCCTGGTCTGAGTGTTCCTCCAGCTCATCCTACCCATGTCGCCACCCTGCCTCCAAAGGGGCGCCCTTCCCAGAGAGCTCTGTCTTCAGGTTCCTCCTGGGAGTTCGGAGCCCTAAGTCTGCCTCCTGGGCATATCCACCTCCCTACAGGGTGCTCTGTCTGCTTTACAGGCTGGTCCAACCCTCTGAAGGTGAGGGGTGCATCTCTCCTACAGCCAGAGGACCATGTCGCCTCCTCCATTAAGGACAGGGTGACTCCAACAATGTCCTCCCTTAGAGCCTTTCCGTGGGTCTCATATGCCTCTGCCTGAACGTGGAAGGAGACTCAGGCATTGAGCAGCAGGTGGAAACCGGATCCTCTTGTCTCTGCCTGGTGTGGAGCAGCACTGCCACCATGTGGGCATACTGGCTGTGCGGGGACAACCATGGAGCCCAGGAAAAGTCAGGGAAGCAGCCACAGAAGCCCGCATTCATTCATTTATTTAAAGTTTGTGGAGCACCTACTACGTGTCATGGGCTTGGCTAGGCTCCTTCTATTGATGCTGCTGCTGCCCAGGTAGTGAATTAAATTATGGCAATGATCTGGGCTCTAGTGAATGTCCAGCATTTCTTCATCATTTACTTGGGGGCACTTTCGTCTAGGGCTGATTTGCAACAGCCAGAAATTATAAAGATACATCAGCTTTGTGCACCAGGGTTTCCTTTGACTCCAAGGTTTTGGGGACAAGCGGACAACAGAGAAATACAGGACTCCAGAGTTACTTACCGTCCTGATACGGGCTCCATCTCAATGGTTATGAAAGGGCAGGATTATGTATTTCTAGTACATGCCT